TCACCTGGGCGCCGCTGTGGCTCCGCAGTGCGGCTGGGCCCCTCGCCCTGCCTGGGTCGGGGCCTGGAGACTCAGGCCACTTGGTCTCCCTTCTCTCGTGGACCCGGCCCTGCACTGCCTGTTGTCCAGTGTCCGAAAACCCCTCTTGTATATAATTTGTCTGATTTTTTTAGTTGTTGGAGGTAAGAGCTTAAATCTGATCCCCAGCCCTTCATCGTGGCCAGACGCAGAAGTCAGTAGACGTTTGAGGCAGTGACTCAGTCGTGCTATTTAAACTTACTTTTTACTGAAATAAAGTTAGGCTGAAAGGACAAAAACCGTATAAAAATGCAAATATAACTCCCCCCGCTTCTTACTTCTCTGAAAGTGAGGTCTAAAGAAGTTACCAACTACTTGATTGGAAATTGGTCATTGATCGTTAAAGACCTAAAAGTTAAAATGCTTGATGTAGTTTTGGAATAAATCACACTATATTGATGAAACAAGAAAATCCGAAGCTTCACTTAAGATAATATTTATCCTAGAGAAATTAAATTTTGTAAGATGGCCTCTCTTTTGGAAGTTTGTACAAAGAGACTAAAAACGGGCTAAGTTTTTTTGGTGAGCCAAATTAAATTCATAATAAAGTTAGTTTTTTTTTAACGGAGTTACTGGGGATTCAACCCAGGACCTTGTGCAAGCTAAGCACTATCACGGAGCTATGCCCTCCCGGTTAAGTTAATTTTAAGTTAATCTTTCACATGATGGTTCAGACTTTTCCAACAAATATTGTCATCTTTGTTTATGTTCCAATTGGTGATGGGCCTAGAAGACAACAAAAGGCCTCTGGCCTTGAGGATGTTGTGCTCTGCGACTCTGTGTGTGTGTGTTTTAACTGAAGTACAGTCAGTTGTAGCATGTCAGTCTCTGGTGTACGGCATCATGTCCCAGTTACGCCTATAAACATATACGCATATGTATACACACACGCTTTTGTTTTCATATTCTTTCATTAAAGGTTATTACAAGATCTTGAATATAGTGCCCTGTGCTGTACAGAAGACATTTGTTTTTTTGTCTATCTTATATATAGTAGTTAATATTTGCAAATCTCAAAGTCCCTTCCCACCCTCTTTCCCCCGTAAGATTGTTTACTATGTCTTCATGTCTGTTTCTATTTTGTAGATGAGTTTGTTAGTGTCCTGGTTTTTTTCTTTTTAGATTCCACACATGAGTGATATCATATGGTGTTTTTCTTTCTTGTTCTGTGACTCTCAAGTGTTGGTACAGCATGGAGGAGAGTGGGGAAGCTTTGGATTTAGACAGGCAGATCTTACTCTGGGGTCCTTCTACATAAAGAGGACATTTCTTACTTCTCCCCTCAGCATCCATTCGCCCCTCTCCACCAAGAGTCTGGGGATTCCTCAGTCCTGGGATGGAACATACAACTAGCCTCAGCTGATCAGAGAATCTCAGTGCACGATGAAGCCTTGGCTGCATGATGCATGCAACTGAAATGGGCATATGACCTACAGGGGCTAATCAGATGGACTCCATGTGTTTGTCGGAGATACTGGAAAATTCCTTTAATTCTTCCTCCTGATTGTAGGAGCAAGAAAAGATGTGAACCTGCAGCTGTGCTGGCTATCTTGTCATCACGAGGTGAGAGCCCGAAGCTGCTGGGAGCCATCCGTGAACCTCAGAAGGAGGGTTACACAGGAAGTGGCAGGGATCTGGACAGAGTCCAAGCCCTCGTGATGTAGTTTAAGCCCCGAAGCTAGCCCTGCTCTGAGTCTTTTCACTCACCTGAATGAGAAAATTCCCTTTATGCTCCAGCCAGTTTGGGTCTGGTTTTCTGTTTCTTGTACCAGGAAGGATTCAGGTGATCAGTAGGTATACTGTTACCACCTTTGGGCTCTGGTGAGACTGAGACGTCATGTATGTGTGAACCACTTAGCACAGTGCCTGCTAACCTTTATACCCATTTTAAGGTATTTTATTGAACTTCTTCAAGATCTAAGAAAAATTCCCGTTTAAAAAATTCCTTCCCTCCGCCCAAGTGTTTACAGTTTTGGGATAGTTTTACTACCTGCATGTTACTGATCTGAAAGAAATTGGTCTTTCTTGTTGGCTGCACAGAATATTTCTCTGCAGGCATTTGCATGGAAGTTTCATCTTGCAGTTATGACTCTGTAATTCCTGACAGAGCAGGGCTGACATGGCTGGTATTTGAAGATGCTACAGGGACACATCCCTCACTGCTCCCCCAGGGAGTGTCTTCTGGCCCTCGTCAGAAGGTGACATTCTGGACTAGGAAGGCTTGTCACCGTGGGTAACCTGCCTGTCTCACTCCCCAGTCGTGCTCTCAGTGATGTCTAGCTTAATGTTTGCTTTCAGCGTTTTCGTCTGTTTGTCTAAAGATGGGCCTAAGAAGTTGCCATACGTGGAGTGTGTCTGCATCCTCTGAAACCTTTATGGAGTGCGTTCTCCATGTCGAGCCGAAAGACACTATCAAGCCGAAGAGCGGAGGGGGAAGGATGCACCCCGCAGCAAGTATGGAGGACACTGGGGTGCGTCCCGGAGCAGCGTCTCCCTGGCCCGCAGGACTCGGGAGGCATGAGGCTAAGGGTACGTGCGTATTCCTGGAGGGCCTTGAGCAAAGCAGAGTTCAGCCCTGGGTCAGGGCAGGGTCATCGGGGCTCAGGGCTCATTTGGTTGAAGTCATAAGAGTCTTTCAGGGGCAACACTGTCATTCCATCCTGTACCAGCGGGGTGGGGGTTAATTCCTGCAGAACAACTTAGAGATAAGTTTCAGATCACGTACATCCCTTGAGGAGGAACTAGGGCTCCTTCCTATCGCTGAGGTATTGTTTCTTGACTGCTTTTCCTTTGTTCCTGCACCCCTCATGCCCCTTAAGATCGTTAGTTACTGGGACCTGTTCACAGGTCGGCATGGTGGCCGGGCTTCGGTCACACATGGCTTCTCTGTGTCAAGGATGCCGTGCTTGGTTCTCTTTCTTTGGGGGCCCCCTACCCTAACTGCTTATACTCATGTGATTTATTTATTTTAGACTTTCAGAAACATGAATTGGATGTTCTGGGAATGGTCTGAAGAGAAAGGACTGGAGAGGAGATTAGAGGCACGTGGAGGGCCGAGCTGGGTGGGGGTGCTCTGCCTGGTTGCACAGAGAGGGACCTGCACGTTCCCAGAAGGAGCAGGCTGCTTCCGCTGCCCCCTGTGCTGAAGAAGCCAGCCTCCTGGGTGGTGCTGCGGTTTAGAGGTGATGCTCACAGCTCTCAGAGGAGGGCAGCCAGAGGCGGGAAGGGCTGGCTGTCCAGCGGGAAGCGTTCACGCGAGAGAGAATCTTGTCTGCACTTTGTGTAGCAGACATGCAGGTATCACTGGGTCCAGGCTTGTACTGCTCACTGCACGACAGGCCGGTGAGTTGAGAGGCGAGGCGTTGGGGCGAGGAAGAGCAACTGTATTCAGGAAGCCAGCAGACTGAGAAGATGACGGACTAGTGTCCCAAAGAGCCGTCTTGCCGGAGTTGGAGTTCAGGCTCCCTAGAAGGGGTGGGGGTTTTGCAGACATCTTGGTGCTGGCATCCTTTGCTCACAGCCTTCCTGTAAATCTTCAGCAAGATAACTGTTATTTTCTCTTCTGCAACTTTTTATCTCTATATGAATGGAAGGTCGAGCCTGGAACGGGCTGTATTTCAGGCCATAGGCAGCATTCTTTTACAAAGGTGCAGAGTCAGTGCGGCCAAACCCCGCAACGGAGCACCAGGGTCAGAGCCAGAGGAGCAGGCCCACTGTGGCGGCAGGTCCGTTCTTCTCGGCCACACGGGGGAGGTGTCCACACACAAGGAGTGGCAGTGGGCGCCTGTCCGCTGCTTGGAGATGAGGTTTCCCACTGTTACACCCGAGACGGGTCCTTGGCTTCTAGGGGTGGGAAAGCGTGGACGCGTAGTGCAGGATGTCCGCGTGGGCTGAGCTGGCTGGTCTGCGCTGGTGCACTCTCGCGTCTCTCTCTGGCTACCTACGGCAGGTTCTTAGTCCCACTCGGTGCATGTCCTGCCCTGCCTCTCTGAACACAGCCCTTGATGCCAAAATAACCCCGAGGAGTCAGAGTCAGTGGCACAAAGTCCATCTCCTTTAACCTAGCGCTCCATTCTGACCTCACTGGGAACGCCTTCCCTTCAGGTCGTGTGTCTTAATCTTTAGTATTGCCTTCAACTTTCTGCAAACATTTCTAGATTTATTATCAATTTCTATTCCTAAACGTGCTTCCACCCGAGTCCCTCTTCCAAATAACTCACAGCCTTCCTGTGTCCTGCAGTACGCGGGGTCCAGCAGGTGCTGGGGAATCTGCAGCCTTCCCGGGTTAGCCCCGCAGTGGCTGTCCTGCAGGAT